GAATAATAGAGTTTCTCTGTATGTGTGGAAACTGCTTAGGTGGATGTGCAGTTACAATCTTTATAAGAAAATAGAAAGTGCTACAAAAATAAAGTTTTTGAACCTTTTGATTTTGAGTCAAAGACAAGGGGCTACGGTAATGGTTCACCAGTGAACTGGTGGTGGAAATTTTACAGGGAATATACATTGATACAAAAGCTATAAATAAAAAATATATAAAAAAACAAAGAGCTTAAATCTTTATTCAGTGTACTGGTCAGAGTAAAAATATACTTTGTTGATGCACCAACTGTCCTAGCTCTGGATTATATCATAATATGATCTCATAAAATACAAAAATATTTCACTGTGGAAAATAAATGATTCCATCCCTTGTTGTTTTAAAATAGATTATTTAAGTGAATATCTAGAAGCTCTTTGTTTACCTCCCCCATTAAAAATTTAGAGTTCCACAAAACAAGACAAAGACAGGCTCTTTATTACATGATTTTTAAGGGAGAAAGCAAGTGTATCCTGAAAACTTAAAAAGCTGTAATGAGTCCTTGAACTTTTGTCCTTGGAAACAGGCCAAACACTTTTCTTTGGGAATTGGTCTCACATGGATGACCCAACCTGGCATTATCACCATCCCCAATATATGAGGTACCCTGGAATCATCAGGAGGAGAGACAAGACAACTCCATCTACTATGTTCTCATAACTCTCTGATATTCTTTAAAGACATCAGCGCAGGAAAATTCCACTTGACCAAGATCTTAACAAAACTCTTTGGTCAATTGCTTTACATCATAATTTAAAAAAAAAAAATGAGTGTACAAAATTTTAAAAAGAACTTATCGAAAAGAAAACATATTATCACAGAAATTTCTGACACAAATGATTTTCATATTTTACTTCTAAGAAAAATTTAAGGTAAACAATTTGTGGACAGGTAATATTGGAAGAAGTTTTTTTTTTTTTCCCCCAACAAACTTGGTTCACAGTAAGTATTATGCTCAAAATTAGAGGGCTTTAGTTCAAGTCAAATAAATGGACACAGTCAAGGAGAGCATAACACAGATCATTTAAACCTTAGACTCTAAATGGTTCCAGTGCTTGTGGAAACAGAAACACAGAGTTAATGGAATCAGGGTAATGATCAGTGACAAAATTTCAAAAAAATAATTTTGCAGAAATTTGATTTTGAAAGGTCAGTTTAGGAAAACACTTTATCTTCTGGAACTTGTTTAACTTGTTTAACTATTATTCACTGTTCATATTAATAACTGTTCATATTAGTAAATCTAATACACTCCACTGAAGTCCTTTTAGTTTGAATTTATTGTTATTAATTTTATTAGAAAAATACAGAGTTAGAAATTATGCTTAAAGCAATACTTTCACTGTTTATTATATTAATGTTTGTTTCATGCATGTTGAATTAATTATAATGAGGAAGATGATATTTGATAATCTCTCTGCAGTCAGTCTACACTGTGGACTCACAATGTCGTAATTTAATAGCTCTGACACACACTATAGATCTTGAATCGTCTATGTACTTTACATGATCTAAAAAAATACCTAATATTAACATCTATGGTATAATATTCATATGTGAAATGTATTAGAACAGAGAAATATTTAGAAGACTGTCAGTTTCACTTCAATTGAGCAATATATCTGCATTGATTATATAATGAACAATGATCAATATATACCCATTTCTGTACTTGACAATCAAATTCAATTTTTTCATTATAAACCACTCTTTGATAAGATGCAGAAAACAATTAACAGACATAGATATGCCATATCATTCATAGAAACCTGAAACTTTTTGTTGTTACATCACCTATCAATTTTGACTTCTCAACAGGTAAAATCAGTGGTGCAAAATGCATATGTGGAATAACACAAATGTGGCTGACTTCATCCTTTGTTTACAGATACTGAAGACATCCAGCTGGTGCTCTTTATGCTGTTTCTCCTTATATACCTGGTCACTGTGTTAGGTAATGCGGGAATGATACTGATCATCTGCCTAGATACCCAGCTTCACACTCCCATGTATTTTTTCCTCTGTCACCTGTCTTTCATTGACCTCAGTTACTCATCTGTCATCACACCTAAAACCTTAGATAACTTACTAACCTCCAAAAAGAAGATTTCATATGTGAACTGTTTCACTCAAATGTATATTTTTGTCTTCTTGGTTGCTGTTGAAGGTTTTCTTCTCTCCTCCATGGCCTATGATCGCTATGTAGCCATCTGCAATCCTCTCCACTACCCAGTTGTCATGTCCACAAGACGTTGCTGGTCCCTTGTTTTTGGGTCTTATTTGGTAGGTTTCACAGACTCCTTAGTCAATGAGCTTTGCATGAGGAGATTGCAATTCTGCCACTCCAATGTAATCCATCATTTTTTCTGTGACACATCCCCAATTATAGCCTTGTCTTGCACTGAAACCCACAACACCGAACTGATGATATTCATTTTCGCTGACACGAGTCTTGTGGCATCTCTTATCACGATATCAGTGTCCTATGTGTCCATTCTCTCTACTATTCTGAAAATTAATTCCACTTCAGGAAAGAGAAAAGCCTTCTCCACATGTGCCTCTCATCTCATGGCTGTCACCATCTTTTATAGCACTATGATCTTCAGTTACTTAAGAACAAATACATCCTATTCCTTGGGAAAGGATCAGGTGGCTTCTGTGTTTTATACTATTGTGATCCCCATGCTGAATCCACTGATTTATCGTCTTCACAACAAAGAAGTGAAAAATGCTGTCCTTAGACTCCTGCAGAAGACAGATGGTTCCAGGCACTTGTAATAGTGATACTGAACATTTTTTTAAAGAAATATTTTTACTATATATCCAATATTTTTACTCTATATTGTACCTTTATATTTTTGTTATCAGGTAACATTGGTTTACATTCCTGTTTCTAAATTTAAAAAATAGGATCCTCTTTTCCAGCTGTTTTCACATTGTTATTCCACCACCAAAACACCTATAGTCCACCCCCATGGAACATGTGCTCCCTCCCATATGTGTTTGCCCCCCTCTTAGTTCTTGCCCCTCTGAATGCCTCAGTTCCATAGTCAGGTTTTTTTTTTTTTTTTTTTTTTTTATAGAGGCATGCTTTATTTATTTGTTTGCTGGTTTCTTTGTTTGTTTTGTTTATACATGCACTGGGTACAGTCAGAAGCGCGGGAGGGCGAGAGAATTCACCAGAGCCAGAGCGGGGAGCAGAGCAGGCAGAAGGACCGAAGTACACTGCTGAGGGGAGCAGCGGGCGGCAGGAGAGGTCTGCGCGCCATGTGGGACCCTCCTCCAGTGGCCGGGGAGCAGCCGGGGATCGAACCGGCGCCGCAGAGGCCGCGCGCAGCTTCGCAACCCAGCGCTCAACCGCTGCGCCACCGGGGAGGCCCCATAGTCAGGTTTTAAGGGCTAGGTTTTGAACTTTGCCGTCTGACCTTTTGTCTTGTTTGTCAGTATTACAAAGCTAAATGTCACCACTGAGTATTTGTTTAATTCATTCTGACATTTCTTTTGGCATAATTCCAATCATTATGCTAAGCTTTGGAGCTACTCTTTACTTTCTATACTATACAACATTTCCTTCAGTTCTGACTAAAAACTATGGACTTCTTTTATTTACTTGTGTTTCTGTTGATTTATTGTCACTTGTCCAGATATAATCTTGGACATTTCCATGAATAAGTCTTTATAAATCCATATTGTCATGGATATCACAAAATAGTTCTAATAATTATTGTCTCAATTTAAGGACAACTGATGCACAAACTAAGAAAAGAGAGTTGTCATCTTTTAAACTATAGCATACCAATACCATCGCATAGTCCATAAATTTGTTATGGAAAAGCACTCCATTGTTAGCTCAATACATACAGCTTCAGCAGTCACTGATTCTATTATATTCAAGAAATATAGTAGAGTGACTATGAGCACTTCTTTAGACCAGAAACTTAGTATTTTGACTCTAGATCTGCTTCCTTTTAGCTATATAATATTTAGTAAGCCACTCACACTTAGAACCTCAGTTTCTGAAACTGTACAAGAGAAATAATAATCCCAGGCTTGTAGTGTTTTATAAAGTTTAAACCAGATGATGAATGTAAAAGTTATAAGGCATTTCTAATAAATAGTGTCCATTATTACAAGAAGATTTACATTTATGTAATATTTTCAATATGCAATGCTTTTTTCTTAAGAATATACCCTGGTGTTTTATGAATTAATATTGATTATTTTTTTAGATGAGCACACAAACAACTAAAAAAGAAAATCTCAATGCTTCACAAATTTGGATTTATTAGGGCAGATGTTGATATTGGAGAAGGCATAGAACATTGAAAAAATAGAAGGAAAGGTTCGTGTGCATATATATTGAATGTATTAGTAAAATGTCTGGTGTCTCCTATGTATTTTTTTGCAGCTTTCTGATACTGCGAGTTTAAACTTTGTTAATTCCTTTGTCATTGAAACACTGGGAGATGAATGTGTGGACTTAGATAGAATGTTGTGGAATTGAAGCACTGTAAGGCCATCAATTTAAAGTGCTGCATTCAATAAAATCACTTTGGTTTCAACCTGCTGAACATTTAAAGTCTATCTTTCTGTGACATGTTAATAGCTTCAGTCCCCTTAACTTGTTGAAATTCCTTAAATTTTTAAAACCTTGGTTTTTAAGTTTTGTTATATATTTTGCAAGTAAATTTTTGAAGTTAATGCTTCACTCACATGTTTTCCATTTTTAGTGGAGTAAAGTTGTAGAGCTAAGAATTGACAATCAAGTCAAAATATGTGGTCACCAGTAAAGTTTATCAGGAGAGTGATTGGTTTTCCATCATTTTAATATTTTTCTATAAAAAAACTAGAAAGGAGCTGACCAAACTAAAGAAATACAAACCCTAGAAATATGACTGAAGAACTGAGGTTACTACAGTGGGAGAAAAGATGGGCGTGGAGGCAGAGATGGGAGGAGGCAATGATCAAGGTAGGGGGGCTTAGATGGCATGGGTGGGGTTTTAATTTTAACCTATTCCCCCAAATCCCCTGCAGTGCTATAATTCAATGTTACCCAATAAAAAAATAAACAAGTAATTAAAATAATAAAAATTATCTTCATAATCTCTAATTGTTTTTAATTTCCTCGCAAAACTCCAGCTTTAGAGAAATTCATTCTTTTTTTTTTTTTTTATAGAGGCATGTTTTATTTATTTATTTATTATTTGTTTGTTTGTTTGTTTGTTTATACATGCACTGGGTACAGTCAGAAGCACGGGAGTGTGAGAGAATTCACCAGAGCCAGAGCAGGTAGCAGAGCAGGGAGCAGAGCAGGCAGAAGGACCGAAGCACACTCCTGAGGGGAGCAGCGGGCGGCAGGAGAGGTCTGCGCGCCATGTGGGACCCTCCTCCCGTGGCCGGGGAGCAGCTGGGGATCGGGATCAAACCGGTGCTGCAGAGGCCTCGAACCGGCGCTGCAGAGGCCTCGGGCAGCTTCGCAACCCAGTGCTCAACCGCTGCGCCACCGGGGAGGCCCGAGAAATTAATTCTTTAAGGTTCTTTAAATTTATTTTAGAACTTTTTTAAAATTGAAAGTTGTTTAAGAAGATCATTTTTCTTTGGTCCAATTATTGGATATTTTTTGTCCTTCACACTGCTATTATGTTTACTAGAGGGATTGTTTCCATTCACCCAATAATGTTGCAAATGCATGCTTGTATTAATAAAATATGTATTTCTCCCAGTAAATTATTTTGTGTTTATATGTAATTGGCTTGAGTCATCACGGGCACTTCTTTTAGGAAGAAGCACGTTGATATTCATCTTTACATTGCATTAAGTTATTTTAATATTTCTGTTACTTCAATATTTCTTAATAGTTTAACTAATAAAAGTAATACTATAATTACTTTTAATATTTATGTTATTCTAATATTTCTATCAATACCATTAATATTATTGTAACTTATTTTTGCTTTGCTACAAATGATATCCAGATTTTACATTTATAGCTATTGCTATTTACTTATATTTGCAAACAGATATAAATATTTGAGAAGGATTTAATGTTCAGTAATTTGCATTTTTGGATCATCTCTATCTTGTTTATGCAATGTATCATTCATATAAATGTAAATACAGATATTTTGTGGCTTTTTATGAACTATTCATTCACCTTGCTTTTATTTATGTCTATTTCTATGATGAGTCAATGTGTCCTGTTTGTTGATGTTTGCAAAGATGATCAAGAAATTCCACATTTTGTTCTTAACACTTACATTTAAGCAATGCTTGATTAAGACAATGCTATTCTGTTTATAATGTTGCATAGAAAACATTTATATAAAGTTATTGCATATGTGTAACATGATCAATGGCAATATAAGTTTCTGCATTTCTGCTATAATTTCCCTGTTATATTATTTTTTTTTCATTTTTTTTATTTTTATATTCCCCATACAATTGCAACCCCCTATTTTGACCCCAACCCTCCTTTCCCCGCACCCCCCAAATTGTGTCTCTCATTCATAGTTGTTTGTTGATTTTGATTTTTTTTCTTTCTTATATTTATTCTTTTTCCTGGTCCCTTATTTAGGTTTTCTAGATTCCTGTTATGAGTGAGACCATCCGGTATTTTTCTTTTTCTTTCCGGCTTGTTTTGCTGAGCATGATCCCTTCCAGTGCCATCCATGTTGCTGCAAATTGCATGTGTTTATTTTTTTTGAATGCTGAGTAATAATCCATTGTGTATATATACCACATCTTCTTGAGCCAGTCATCTCTTTTTGGGCATTTGGTTTGTTTCCAAAGCTTAGCTATTGTAAGTAGTGCTGCTATAAGCATAGGGGTGCAGGTGATCTTAGGAATTAATATTTCTGTGTCCTTTGGGTAAATACCTAGGAGTGGAATTGCTGGATCATATGGAAGCTCTATCTTTAGTAGGTTGAGGAATCTCCACACAGGTTTCCATAGTGGTTGGTCCAGTTTGCACTCCCACCAACAGTGCAGGAGAGTTCGTTTCTTTCCACATCCTCACCAACATTTTTTGTTGTTAGTTTTTTTTTTAATATGTGCCATTCTCACTGGTGTAAGATGGTATCTCATTGTAGTTTTGATTTGCATTTCCCTGATTGCAAGTGATGTTGAACATTTTTTTTTGGTATATTAATATTTATCATACTTTGTGTGAGATGTGATTTGTTATAATTTAAAACATAGTATTCTAGTTTTCAGTACCATGCCAAACTGATATTAATTATAATGTAATAATGAATTATATGAACAGCTGTGTTTTTAAATTGATATATAAGATCAGTAATGATATATTTTGCTGAGCACTTATGATGTCCCACAATACTCTAAGGACCTAAGAAGTACTTTAACATACTTTATCTTCATTAGGAGACTCAGATAGCTAGTATCAATACAAATGTTAATCGCACTAATGGACAAACTTTTTTTTTTTTTTTTGCTCAGCAAATTCTTTGGGTCTTTTTTTTATTTGCTCAGATTGATTCTGGAATTTTCATTTATTCTCACATGCTTCATAGCCAATCCATCAGTATATTATATTGATTCTAAAGACAGACTATCTTTGGAGTCTGACTGTTTCTCAACACTTTCTATGCTGCCACCCTAGAGAAGGAAACACCTTTTCCATCAGAAGTATTGCTCCAGCACCCTGGCTTGTGTCCCCACTTTGGATTACTCTGTATATTGAGGAGACTTTTTGGGCACCATCAAGGGGGTCTTCACAAAATAAAAATAGTAACAAAAACACTCATAATGATAATGACAGTAATAACCATGGAAAGAAGTTAGGAAGACCACTTCTCGTTAACTTTGAAGGATTCGTTCTTGCAGTGTAAATACCATCTGTTGGAAGCAGGGATAGATATGCACATAGTAGGGTGCTTTCTATTCCTTGGTTCTTGGACTGAGGAATGAGGAGTGGGCTCCCCTGCAAGAGCGTCAGAGTGTGGAAGGGTAAAATGAAGCACAGGCAAAGCTGAGTTATCAGGAGACCCACAGAGATGGGCTGGGGTTCAGTTGCTGAAAGAGACAAATCTATTAGCCTGTTGTAGCTTATCTGTGAATAAAGCTTGTCTATTGTCATTCTTGAATTAAGTGTAATTTTGATAAATGCCAATGCCCAGTTTGTATATTCCCTGAAAAATAAGGAATGGATTTTCTGTCCATAATCTGAATAAGAAAATAAAAGGAGAGGATGTGAATCCTCAGATACCTGCATGATGATGACTCAGGAATTTGGACACATTATCTGTCCCTGAATGACAGGCTGTATTTAGATTGTTGTCAAAGCATAAATCTGAGGAGGGACCAGGGTGTCAATGACTTTATGGAAAATAGTATGGAATATGCAACCTGTGGTTTTGCTCTCAATTACATGGTAGCTGCCAAGCTAAGTCAAATGCAATCATTATAAAGTAAATGTTACCTGCAACTATGGGAGTCTATTAAATATGAATCATATGGATATGACAGTGAATACTAGGCATTTAAATATATGTGATTTGTATGTAAACATGTTTATATACAATAACTATGTATGTGTATTATGTAAACATATATTTATACACCAATATTCATACATTAAAGACTTAAGTCCTGGTACTTCAGTACATAACTTTAATGATAGGATTTTGTGCAGGTAATTAACTTAAAATCAGTTCTTAAGAGTACATGTTAATCCAATGGGACTGGTATCATGAGAAGAAAGAATCACAGCAGAGAACATGGAGAGAAATAGCCATGTGAAGAGACAAACAGAAGATGTCTACCTGCAAGGGAAGGAGGGGGGCCTCACCAGAAAACAGTCCTGACTTCATCTTGAGCTCAGGCTCCTAGATGCAGAACAGTGAGAAATAAATCACTGTTGTTTAAGCTCCCTATCTGTGGTATTTGGTTACAGCAAATCTAACAAATTAACACTCTCAATATCAGTGTATATGTGCACATGTGTTCATATGTGTGTGTATCAGAGTGAATCAGAATGAGCAGAGGATTGTAGAGTTTTCCTGTATGTGTGGAAACTGCTTAGGTGGAGGTTTGGTACAATCATTACATGAAAATGTCTACCAATAATAAAAAGACACTACAAAGGAGAAGTTTTTCTTTAATCTTTTTGATTTTGATACCAGGAGCACAATTCTTTATTTGTTTAAGTGTGATGGTCAGAGTGAAAAATACACTTTGTTGATGCACCAAACCTCCATACACTGAAAAAATTCACTGTGAAAACTGAGCATTACATCCATAATGGTTTCAAAAGAGAGTAAATAGGGTTGATTCTAGAAATCATTTTTTTTACATCCCAAAGATGCTGGCTGATTTATTATCAGAGAAGAAAACCATCTCTTTCGCTGGCTGCTTTCTGCAGATGTACTTCTTTATCGCCTTGGCCACCACTGAGTGCATCCTTTTTGGGCTGATGGCTTATGACCAGTATGTGGCTATTTGCAACCCCCTTCTGTACTCCTTGACCATGACACCAGCTGTCTGTCTTAAGATGGCAGCAGGGGCTTTCGCAGCAGGACTGCTAAACTCCATGGTTAACACAAGCTACGTGAGCACCTTGCCATTCTGCAATTCCAATGTCATCCACCACTTCTTCTGTGACAGTCCTCCACTTTTCAAGCTCTCCTGTTCTGACACATGCCTGAACGAAAGCATCTATTCCATTTTTGCTGGAGTGAATATGGTTGGGGCTCTGTTGGTAATTCTCACTCCCTACTCTTATATTCTGTTTTCCATCTTCCGGATGCATTCAGGGGAAGGAAGACACAAAGTACTCTCCACATGTGCCTCTCACCTGACAGCTATAATCCTGTTCTATTCCACCTCCATCTACACTTACCTGAGACCCAGCACCAGCTACTCCCTGAATCGGGACAAAGTGGCTTCTGTGTTCTACACGGTGGTGATCCCCATGTTGAATCCGCTCATCTACAGCCTCAGGAACAAGGAAGTAAAAAAGGCTTTGTGGAGTGTGATGACGAGGAAAAGGAGACCTTCATTTCTCTGATTAGATCATTTTCTGAATTAAAGACTTCTGAAGGTTGATTCAAATCTACAGTTTTTTATTACATTTTTCTAAGTAATCAATTCTTTAATATTTTTGTATAATCGATGAAATAGGTATAAATTACCAAGCTTATATAATAACATGGAGCTTTTATGTAATCATTCTATATCTTCTTTGGACCCTCAAAATATGACTTATTTGAACCCTCAAAATAGGACTTACTTGCAATGAAATCTTGATTAGAGGAGGAAAAGTTACTATTTAGAAACAAAAATCGCCATATCACTTGAAACTACCCATATATTGATAGAATGTATGTAATTGTCCATTTATTGTGTTTGTGAAGAGTTATTATAGGGTCGATTGTAAAAAAGGCAGATCAACTTCAATGGATGAATTCTACACATATGTAAAAATAGACTCATGAATTTCTTCCATATAGAAATTTATCAATTGCCAATAAAATTCAATTCAACAAATCTTAATGTTAAAGCTAAGCATTATTATTATTATGGGGGTAGACAGGGAATCAGCATTGTAGAATTCTGAAGGAAATGGGGTGCATGGGGTTGCTAAGGTGACAGACACATTTTTTTTTTGAAGGAAAGGCCCCATGTTATTTCCCTTCCCATTTCCATGGATGTTGCATCTGATGAACTGTAATGCTCATGTCATCTGTGATGTGACTTACCTGATTTTATGGCTTATCACAAGACCATCCATCTCAACCATCCAGTGCCTTCACTGGACCACCTGAGTGACCTGGGCCACATGGACATTCATGAGACATTGGTGATGTCTATGCACCTGAGAACCATGCTTTCTTCCCATAGGACCATGATGATTACCTGACCCACAGGCCCTGCTGCCAATGGTAAGTTCTGAGAGATGTTTCTACTTCATTGAGTAACTTCCTTCATTTTTCTGCACCATCTACCTGCTCATTGACTGACTGCTGTCCCCATCTCTTCTGTGTATTTGATGGAATCATATGTCCTCAGATGTTTCATAAATTAATATGACTACTACATTTCTTCCATTAACTACTTTAATTTCCAATAAAACTTAAGAATATAAACAATATTTAGATGAGAAAATGTTATTATAAGCTTATTTTTTAGACATTTTAAGTCATGGTCTCTGCTTTGTCATTTAGTTCTACATTGAATTCATCTCCTTTACAAAACCTACAAATATTTTCAGCTTTGGGAGCTATTGTCACTAATGATGTTGTTTTTTTTAATACTCGTGAAACATGGACTTCCTAATAAGTTTTGTATATTTAAAGCTATTTTTATTTTTAAAAGTATATTAATCATATGTTCTTGCTTACAGCTCATAGCATTTTTATCTTTATTTAACTCAAAAGAAAATTAAATTGAAAAATTGAAACTCCTAAATATTATATTGAGTGTGAAATTGTTATTCTATTCTTTCTTTAGAAGCTGAAAATATTAAAAACAATGTTTTATTTACCTTTTTGCTATCTATCTCTATTGCTTTTAACTTTTAATTTCCCCATGTTTTTATTTCACTTGAATATTTAATGTTACCATATTATCCCCCCAAAAAAAACCCATATCAATCAGTTTTGCTCTATTCAATGGCTTCTGAGCAATTTATTAAAATAAGTGAAGGTAAGAAATAAAAGGAAGATTTGAATGTATGCCTTTAGGTTGTGTTTTGATCAATATTTTCATCAGTTATTTGTCAAATAGAAAATGTCAAAGAGGTAATGCCTCAATCATCAGGTTTATGGGAAAAAGATTAAATTTTCCATTGATGTGATACTATATATCTGTAGAAGAGAAATATACAATGATGTTTGTTGTAAATATGTAGCTTCAGTGGAATGTATAGCTTTATTGAAACAGTTTTGAATCAGCTTAATTGAAACATGTATAATACATGCCAAATACAAATGTGGCATGAGAAAGCAGAATTTGTCACTAAAGTTAGATATAATTTATGACTTTGGCTTAGAAATTGGTATGTACTCTCTTTAATTTCATTTTATTATAATCCTATTGTGAAAATATTTTAATATTCACATACTATCCCTACATCTAAGAAGAGTCATTGGAACATTTCAACCACTTAACACGAACTATGTCAAAAACTCTGGAGTTTCTAAACTGGGGTCCAAATCCTCAGCTTCCAGAAATTATATGACCATTTAAACCATATGTTGTCAAACAAACTCAATAAAATATTAGTTATTAGCTAAGTTTGTAAGTGTGTACCATATTCATCAATGTACCAGTAAGAGAAACAAAAAAGTGAAGAAAGAGAGTCTGGGAAAGAATAATGTTTTATTTAGCTGGAAATCAATAAATGACAATAAAAACATGAAATAAACTCCTCATTTACAAATTGTGTAATTTTTATAACCAAGTCATGGGTTACAGAAAAGAATTATATATCAAACTCATATGAAATACTAAGTTCATTGAGAATTAATCAAAAGGAACAAGCAACTATTTAGAGAAAATGACAGTTATATTGATGCTGACTGTATTGCCTTTGTTTTATTTCCCACTAGAGATGATCAATGGGCTCATAAAATAGTCCAACAGAGATCCAAAGTAGAGTGAAAAAAGATGCAAGTCCTGATTTTATTTTATTTTAAAGATTTATTTATTCATGCATACAAGAACTGGCATACAGGCCAGAGGTATGGGAGGTGAGAGGATTCACCAGAGACAGAGTGGGGAATAGAACAGGCAGACAGACTGAAATACACTGCTGAGGGGAGCAGCTGGCAAGACAGGAAATGTCTGCTTTCACCATGTGGATTTCTCTGGGGCTGGCCAGGGATCAAACTCTGTTGCAGAGGCTGCGGATTGCCTCATAGTGCAGTGCTTAATCCCTTGCTCCAGCAGGGAGGCCCCAAGTCCTAATTTTAAATGGGACATTGGTAATGATATTTTCCCAAAATATAAACAAAATTGTAAAATGCACTTGTTTGGAAGTACAAAGAAAGTGAATTGCCTGTTAATGTGGTATGTACGACCAGGTCAGGTTCCCAAAGCTGCCAACTTCCCTCTCCTCCAGGACTGGTGAGCATGTTCTGCTTTTACTGGTAGTGTTCCAGGGCAGGGAGAGGGGCACCCCAGAATCCTGAAACCTGCCCGCTCTAAATAGGTTCTGCCATCTGCCACATTAAGACAAAACATACTCTTGTGTGTGCATACGGCCTTCAGTGGAAAGGAACTTAAATACAATTAGGGTGCAATATAGAAAGGGGAGGAATGAGAAAGAATGTAGTTTCCAAATCTGGTATCCAAAGTCACCCATCCCCTGGTGGGTAAATGTCCAGCCAAACAGGGTTGGCCCACAGTCTAAAACACCTTCTGGCGGGAACCCATAGAGAAGGGTCAGAAACAGCCAGACAAGTCTGAAAAGAAAAGCAAAATCAAAATCAAGATTAATGCTGCCATTGTTAACCTCCCATGGGTCTCTCACCTACATCTGTTTCAACCAGTCCAGGACTAAAAGGCAAGTGCAGTTTATTAACATGTCTCTCTGCTCCACGTGCCTCCTCCAGGTCTCTTTCTTACCCTCCATCCTTCTTCCTTCCTTCTCCAGTTTCCCCTCCAGTTTTTTTTTTCTTCTCCTGCTCAGCTCCACCCTCCTTTTGGTGGGGGAGGGAACCTGGACCCTCCCCTTTTCCTGGACTCCACCCTGTTACATGGACCACCCTGTGACACAAGGACATTTCTTCAGTTGTTGGGTGCTAAATCTGTGCCTGCCCATCACTAATGCCTCACATGGGAGACTTTTTTTTTTTTAGGTGGCAAGTGTTCTAAGAAATTTTAAATGCTTGACCCAATGATAACATAATTTCAGGTCTAGTTCCTAACCAGGAATGGACCCTGGGCTGAGGGGGCTGGGCTGAGTAACAGCCACTAGACCACCATGGGGTGGTGTCAATTGAAGCCGCAGCAGGTACTCTGCTGACTCAGGCAAGCAAGCTAAGAGGCAGGTTTGTTTAGAGAAATACATAGTTTATTAAGGAAAAAAGAAAGTGGGACTTCCAGGCCTGTGAAACCAGGCCAGGGAGGGGCAAGGAGGCCTAAATGGAGCTGTGCCTCAGGAAATACATATCATCTTTTTCTAATTATTCTAAAGCCCCATCAGTCTCTTTGTGATTGTTTAGTTCTAGGTGGTCTCACTCTGTCTTAAAATCTCTGTGCCCAGAATTACATCTTGCATTTTATTGAGTCCTTGCATTATCTTAGAGTCTTTTTTCTTTATTGTCCGTGTTTCTGAATATCTGGTTGCTTCATGTCCTGGGGGTGTTTGATTAGTTCCTTTTGGAATTTGTTAGTTACACTTATCTCTGGAGCCTTCCTTATTCATCCCAGGCTTTTCCCATTCTATTCTAACCTTAGAAGCTATAGTTTGCCCTGTGACTCATCAGGTCCACCAAGTTTGCAGCTCTTGGTTTCCAAAATGCCAATCACTGTATAGTCAGTGCATGTTTCTTATAAAATAAAAGACAGAGCCTAAAGATGTGTATGAAAATATATTAGGAATGAAATCTTAGTAATCGCCATTTAGGGAACCACTTGCAAAGGCCATTGCCTGTCTGAGTAACATGCCAGTTTGAGCTGAAAACTTACTCCTTTAACCTGAGTACTAGTCTGGAGTTCCATCACCCAAAACCAAGGACCATCAGTCCTAGATCCAGAAAGGACCCACACCCTGTAGGCCTTGGGTTAGGGGTGCTGGATGGCTCAGAGGTAACTACTGATAGAACGTCTGCTCTCTCCAGCTCTTCCTGTGGCCTTGGGCAGTCCTTTTGTGCTACTAGACTGATAACTGAAAATAAAGTCTCCACTACAGTTAGACAAAGAGTTTACTGGAAAATCAAAGTGAGGATTTGAACCCTGGAGCAGTCCAACAGATTTACCTGGTAAGAGCTATTATTTTCTTTAAAAAAATATTTATTTATTTATGCATGTAAGAGCTGGGATATACAGGCCAGAGGTGCGGGG